AGTACTTTTTTTGTGTAGATTATTGACAAATTGTTGACCGAATACGTCATTCAATGTTCCGCCACAATGGTAATCGGTGTAGGTAGCAAAAAGCATGAAGGGGCTTGGGATATTTGTGCTTATGAAATATTTGAGAATATTTCAGGCCATATAGCAGACTCATAGATAATAGGGGGATGTACCAGTAGCAGTGGAGGCTATAAGGTACAATACAATTAAATAACAAAATCGAGCATTAATAATGTACAGGCCAGATATTAGGATTTAAAGCACCAATTGGCTAGCAATGAACTATAATTGAGAGTTTCGATATTGAATCCCTAACAAAGGTAGTGTGATTTTTTTCTTCAATTTGTTCGGAAGCTTTGTGCATCCAGCCACTACACCAATTCCAAAATGGAGCAAATTATATCGTTTCCCCTATAATCTACGCATTCTTGCCTAAAATATATAGCACCGGCTAGAATATAGATATATTCGATAGAGCATGAATGTGTTTGTGAATCTCACTTTATTAGTTGAATCTTCGGAATGTTGAAGGCACAAATAGGAGAAAGGTATTACGCCCAACCTTACAGACAGGCAAAAGCAAACAGTTAAGGTGCAATATCGCCAGAATAAGTGACAATTAGGGCCTCTGTTAGAAGATGCATGTGCTCCTCAAATGTCAAGTATGCTTTAGAATAAATCATTTAAACACAAAAGTTATAAAACCAAGCATCACAATTGTGGGATAAATTGAAACTGTCTCTATTTTTGAACAAAATACGTCAGCATAGTTCTGGTTTCTCATTTTTTCTAATGTTCTGCGATGTTCTATGATGCTTTCTAATGTTTAATGATGATTAAACCAATTCCCACCAGACCGGGATTGAAATCAGCTCCTTACTATCAATGGAATAAGAGTAAACCCCTTTATTTTTCTAAGTCAAAAGAATAAATCCTATATGATCCTAACGAAACTCCCTTGTAATGAAGAGAGAAGGCTAATGAAAATGACTCACCAGCCCAGTAGCCAAAGGTTTTGCGGAATTCAGGAGCTCCGTGAAGGTGTCTGCCACATGCCGAGCAGCCGAAAGTAGATTTTGCGTTGAAGCCTCGGCCTTTTCGCGTATCATCGTCGCCTCTGTGTCCACCTCTTCGTCGACTTTCTTTGACGTCTCATCTGTCGAAACAATGGCGGCGGCAGTGGTGGCATCAGCCTGAATTGCTCCAGCCTCTCGCCGAAGTACAGCGACGCGTTTCACATCATCGACAAAACTGGGAAAATGAACATTGACTATGCGGAAAGAATGTTGCATCATAATCAGGTCGTCACTGGCGTCGCCAGAGTTTGAAATTCCACCAGTATAGCCAAGCCCAAGACCGTCCTGTCCGGAAGCAGCTTCGGCACGATTGGCAGATCTGAGCGCCTGAGCAACAGCTGCATTCATGGCGCCCATCTCGTCGGTTACTTTGGCTTGGTTGGCGCCCATAGATTCCGATAACCAGCGACGCGAGGCCTGCAGAATGGAATTCCCCGGAAAAGAAAGTCGATGGAGAGAAAAGCAACGCAAGGAAATGAAAAAAACGGACGAACAAAAATACAAATAATTAGGGGGGAGATAAAATAAATAAAGAATAGAAACTAGGAGAAAGGATCGGCTTCGATCAATACACGGATATGTGATTGTTGGGCTGGCTTTCATTGCAAGTAAAAGTATTATATAAATTGTATGTACTAGGCAGATATAATTATTTGAAATATAAATTAACTCATAAGCGAGCTAAAGTCATATCAATTGAAAATTAGTTAAGTAATACAGAACACGATAGTTGTAGTGTTGGTTCGACCTTGTTTTCACAACTTTGTCGGAACGTCAGAAACCTTGTGTAACGTACCTAATCTCGTGTCCTCTGCCATAGAATTGATGATTTCCAGCATTGGAAAATTGGCTAAGTACATTCCCAAACGTTTCGCCGGCATCGTAATCGGCATCCTCAGTGAGAGGCGCCATTGTAAGCACAGAGTTACAACTTATCAAAGTTACAAAGGAAGGCAATTTCCTTGACCAATTATCTGTTCAACTGTGATGGCACCACTCATCGCCCCTATTTTTGTTCAATCTTCCAGTGCCGCGCCTCTTTCTCTCAATCCCACTTCATATGGCCCATCCACTTATTCGAACAATAATGTGCTCTCGTTTTCTCCAATGCCGCCTAAGAGACGCTACAAGTGAGTTTATGGAAGTTTAATCATCATTAACACCGGTACCAGGTGCAGTTTGTAGGGCTCCTGACCTACATTCTGACCCGCTTCCCTCTCTTCTTCCCCACCCTGCTAAACATCAAAATCCTGTATCCGGCCTAACTCAAAACCTCTGGTGTGAAAATGAACCGCTTCCCTTTTTCCATTGAATCGCGAAAAGCACACTCCTCTCGTCTCTCAAGTTGACATTCCCATCTAATCCTAGGGTACTGGGATGATGTTTTTGTGTGTGTGTGTGTGTGTGTGTTGGTTAGTATCCTGTGGTTGGTCAAGCCTGTCATCAGTCACCTCCCCTTGAGACACAGATACGAAAATTACACACGACACTCCCGCAAACACACTGATGATCTCTAACTAGCCCACCTATATCTTTAGCCTTTAATTTCATATCCTTTATGTCAAAGGTGAACCCCCTCGTCTCATTGCAGTCGCCTTGTCTTGACTCCCCTTTGTTCCTCATGAGCCGCTCCTTGATGATGTCTCTTCCTGTTTCTGAAGATATGTACTGGCTCCAA